TCACTTTGAGGCAGTGATGATGCAGGCTATTGCTCCAGATGCATTCAACACCCTAGCCACATCTGGATCTTTGTCTCCATTTGAAGGAATGTGCAGATACAGATGTTCTGATTCCCTTCATCACGGGTGTGAGAGAGAAACCTTTGGACTCTGCCACAAACAGTTGTGGGTTTGTTTTTTTTCCTAGCACACAAGTGATCTCAATAACAGAGGAGTAACCCGCCCATGCCCCATCCTAAAAGCCCCAGTGTACAAAACAGCCATTACTATCTTGGCATCAGCCCTAAAGCTTCGAAGAAATGTCTGGACTTGCTACACTCATGCACTTTGGCGGTTTAAGATGTTGATGATAATCAGTGTTAGAGACTTTAATATTACTGCTTTAAATACGCTATAAACATAACCCGCCTGCTAGCTCACAAAGCACATGGTGACAACTTTCAAAAATTAACCAGAAAATGAAAGCATTGTCTTTCCAGGAGTGATTTTGTCTGCCATCAGACATATTCCAGAGCAGAAAGGTTTTTCATTGATCCATAATCATTCATAATTTGACAGTAAGAACTGTAATTGCAGCCATTGCTATCCAGTCATTTGTGTGAATCGTCTGTTTTATTAACATTGTCACGGTGCTATTAGTGGCAATTCTCTGGAACATTTTGTGGATTTGGAGCAGATTCTAATGTGATGACATATCAGGCACAAACATGTAGTATCATCGTTTGAAACGTTAAAGGAGAGTTATTTACCTGATAATTTGGTAATCCACAGCTCTCTCTCCCACTGTCATTTGCAAAAGCGTAACGGTATTATACCTTGTCTGAAGACAGGTTATTACAAATACCTGTACCTATTGTTTAAAACCCAATTTTTAAGGAAAATGTAATTACAGAGGTGCTGTAGGAAATGGACTTTATGACATAATTACCCCCATAGACATGGTCCATCTCTGTAAAGTAAGCCTCTGGATGAAAAGTTCCCCAATATGAAGCATGTACTAATCCAAAAAAGCTTACTAAATTCCAAAGCTTTAGATTATAACAGACCGAATATTCCATATATTTTTTACCCTTCCCACTGATTTCTACCAACAGTTGTTTTATGTGAGGAACTAGCTATGCTCATCCAGCTGACAGTTACTGGAACTACAGTGCCACAGTTTTGTTTTGCCTTGCAGACTTTAAATCAGGACACACTAGAGCACTGTTAAATGAAGCTGCAGCAGCTTAACTTAACCCCATAACATTAGCACCAGAATGGCTGAGGTATCACACATCTCTAATGGAACTGTAAGTGCATTTGTGAGGAAAAAAAATAATCCAGGAATGCAGAATATTAGCTCCAGCACAGCTGTTCTAATAAGCTCATTTAGACAGTGGTGGGTAGGAAAAACTATGATTTTGCAGGAGGCCATGTTGGATATTTGCAGAAGTGACTTGTAAGAAGTTCCATTTTACAACGAGAGAGCAAAGTATGCCTTGCTGCTCATGAGATGAGCCACGACCTTGGCAGGTATCATTGAAGTTCACTCAGACATAAGGTGCTACAAAACCAAAATTTGCCATTAATTGACATTTTCTGTATCAATTTTCAACAAAAAAGTGACAGCTCTTCTGCTACTGCAACAGTAAGTCAGTCCTATGTGTTCTGTAAGGCCAGTATTTACCATGCTGGTCTGAAGTCCCAAGTTAATTCAGTTTAGCCATGAGCTCAGCCCTGAACTTCATTTCAGTGTCACAACTACTGGAAACTAATTGTGACTTTCCACCTGGAAGCATTTATTTTTGCAGCAATCTCCCTGCACCTGTACTTGTCTCATTAAGGAGTCCAGCTGCACCCCCAGTTGCTTCCACTTTGAAAGCTTCAGCATTTCTGACTGGTTCTTTCCTAATGTAAGTGGCAGCCTGAAATCACCATGATAAATGCACAAATGGGGACTGCCAGTTTTCCTGGGCACTTGGACATCTTGCATTCCTCATCCATCTAAGAGCTCCAATACCCTCAGCCATGCAAAGCATTACAGTACCAGGCACAACTCCCCAGCCAGTTCAGTGGATGGCACTCTGTCCTGCTATTCCCATGCCTGCACAGTGCATTAATATGCAAATCCAGAATATTGCATATGCTAATGTCTACTAAAAAGACTTTTCAATTCAGGATCTCAATTTAATGAAAAAACAGCATCACTGTGGGGAAAACGATTGCATAGCACAAGTGATCACGGAAGACCTTCAGTGATCTTTCAGAACGAATGAACACAAGTGAATGGCAAAGGTAAGAATACGGCCAGAGAGAAGAAAATCAGCGGTGGTGCCTCTCCCTGTCCACCTAAGCTTCAGCAGCAAAAACAGTGCAATCAGTGAATGATCTGTGACCCTTTGGCTCTGTGATGGCCCACTGTTTTGGTGAAGCAATCCCAATCTGGTTTTTTTGTACCTGGAGCTGCTACTCAACTCTCAAGCATCAAGCAGTATAGACGGTACAAGCACAGTGACTTGAGGGTCCATACATCTGTTACTCCTGTAACTGCTGCAAAAGCACAGAGGCTGGGTTGGCAGATGGAAGATTTGCCTTTGAGGAGAAATAGGTCAGATATCAGAAAGTAAGAACAGAGAAACAGATGTAGTCTTTATTCCCCAGCAGACTGGTACTTTGCTCAAACATACCCTTAGTAACAGAAGGCACAGCTCCTTGGGAGCAATACCCCGTGCATTATGAAAGACAACATTGCCCAGCAGGCTTGAGAGTGCAGCAAGGTCTCTGGCCATACAAGACTGACGAGGTACAAGCCAAGCACACTGCAGTGAGAAGCAAGAGGTGGAAGGCTCAGCATAAACAGTCTGCTTGGAACACACCTCCTAGGGTTTGTGACTATCACAAGATGGTAATTTTCTGTGGAAAGGCTCCATATCTACATGCTGTTAATTAAATGCTGGAGAAAAGCAGAGAAATACTGTCATATTTTCATGCAGTTAGTCTATTCACATGTAATAACTGGGATTGCACTGGCTTTCCTCTTCCAAGTCAATGTCCCCACAATGACTGTGTCTCACTGAAACCGTTCTCCTAACCTGCAGTTTCCACACCATTTAGAGGTAAGAATTCTAACTCCCATTTATAATCATAGGATCATAGAATGGTTCGGGTGGAAAGCAAAAAAAAAAAAAAAAAGAGACTTCAAATAACAGGCAGGAGCTAGCATAGGGGATCTCCGATATGAGGCTGGACCTAATCATTAAGGTAAGCAACAAGACCAGCACATTTATGTTGGTATGGGTAACAACAAGGCAACAGTGTTCTGTAAAGATTTTTTTGAGTATACAGAAATCATCAAGCATCAATTCCTACATAGTCCACAGATCTTTTTATTATCTGAGATGTTTGCATAGCATTAAGCTTAAATAAATCCACCTCTAAACAAAGTGATCACATGTATATATGTTAAATTTAGTAGTTACAAGAGATCAAAGGTTTATAACTTTTAATGTGAAAAGCACTATAAAACCTGAGAGATTATAACTGAGGGTGTTATATTAAGGATATATTAGAAGAAATTGTTTGAGATTGCAGGTGAAAAAAAGGTTAGAACACACAAGCCATCACTCCCATGGTAGAAGGCTGTGAGCTTTTTAAAGAACTACTGGGAATTCTCAGTGGAGGATACGGTATAGTTGACACACCATACCATAGTTTTCAGAGTGAGGGAAGGGAACAGCACAAGCCACTTCATCAAAGCTGACCCACAACAGCTTGTATCGTCCAAGCAGAAGTCCACACAGTGAGTGCTTTTCCATTTGTCTCACTGAATCCATCCTCCTACCCAAAAGAAAGGAGCCAAAAATAAATAGACTGTTTAGAGGAGTTACATAGATTGTAGATAGTATAATTACCAAAAATTTTAGTAGAGTCTCTTTATGTATTTGAGCTACCTCTGATGGCAACTCCTTTAAAGATAATGAAGTTATAACATACTGGAGTATTTAGTTAAAAAAGAAGGCAGCTAAAACGTTTAAGGGAGAAGGTAATGAGTTGTTCAACACTACACTGACAGCTTGCCTAAAAACAGCATGAGGAGACCTTCTCCAAGTCAGGACCTATCCAGTCAGGTAGCAACTCTGCTAGATGGAGAAGTCTGGTATGTTACGCTGGTAAATCAGGAATGAAATGGTGTTAGACTGCTGGGAGATGAGAGAAATGCAGAACTGCATCCTGCGGCCAGCTGAAGCAGAGAGGAACCTCAACATGGAGATAAAACGGTATTTAGAAGATTAGCACCCTTTTTTCCTATCCAGAGTCTTCAGCCTCTCCTACAGTGCTTGCATAGGGCATATAAGATCTCCTTTCCCCTTCCTTCCACACAAATCATCCCATAACAAGTCCCAAAACACATGATACTCTATACTTGCTGAACCCTTCAGCTAAAAGAGAACTTCCATAGGATTTCTCTAATGGTCTGCTGGAGTGTCTTTATAGCTATTGCTATTTCTCAAGAGGCTGCTTTAGCTTTCTTTTAAAAATCCTGACAAATGTTAATGACAACAAATTCTCTGTTCCTCCCTTGCTGCTCCCAGAAAGACTTCTGGAGTTTTAGTTCAGAGACACTGTATGTGTGCCTTGGAGTGAAAAAGGGTTGGCAGTAGGCAATCAACTTTTTCTTGACACAGAAAATTACTCTCTACTAAGGCTGTAATACATCAACATATCTTTCACTCACAGGTCTTACGGCACAAAGTTATATCCAGCTCTTCCCACAGAGCTATTCCCACCCATTGCACTTACTAACCAGAAAGCCTTCTAAATGTTATCTAGTAGCAAGAATTAAGCAGTTGTGTTTTGCAGATCATGTTTCTTAGCTGGCTCTTTAATTTCCTCTTATTCAACATTATCACATTATGTTCCCTCTTCTTATGTGCTTCTCCTCTTCACAAAGCCCTTTAAACAGCTGCAAAGGGGGAGGGACCACTATGCTCACGAAAACTCCACTTTGCAGAATGCTTCTGCCAGGTCCTACTGTCTGTCTCCTTCCAGGCATTTAATACCTCCAAGATTCAGGTTTGCTTTTACATCTCTTCCTTGTGCATCCCTGACAACAGAGCCTATTTTCAGCTGTCTTAATTGAAGAACAGTAATCCACCTCTTCTTGTTATTGCCATGAGGAATACGTACACCCTTTTTCTCTTTGTAGTGGGCTCCTTTTATTTTAACGGTAAGTGATCTTTCCTTTCAGATACAGTTTGCAGAGCAGCAATAGCTTTCGGGCTAGGAGGCAGGACTGTGATATAGGCTCTCAGACAGTTTGTAACTATCATTCAGTAGGTTGCAGACTTTAAGAGGTTGCATGAAATGGATTATTTTGGTGTTGTTTCTGGCTTGTTTGGTATCAGCAAATCCAGTACAACAGATACAGACAAACTGTAAGTTGGACATAAAATGACAGAACAGTAGGAGATGACAATGATAGTTACTAAACAATAACCCTGTAGATGCTCCCAGGATCATGTGTGATGGGAAAAGCAGGTATTGTGCTGAGGGTGAAAAAATAAGTAATGAACTGTGACATGAACCATAAATTAGACAGGTATCATCCCTCTAAAATTATTGTCTCAAGTTCATGTATTTTGCAAAGTTCATACCTCCTAATTGTAATTAGTATGTGAATAGTTTAAATTAAACTGAGTATGCAAATATATGCTAAAAAAGAGCAAACTTACATTAAGAACATTTTTTTTAGTTCGCCAAGATTTCTTGCACATGTTTTAGCCAATACGCACAGCCTGACGGCAGCATGAAATAGTGCATTTACCATGGGAGCTTCTTTCCACGGAGAGACTACCGAAGTGTTCAGAGGGAAACTGTCTGAAACTGAAGAGAGACAAAAACCACATCTTTCCCATAATTACCTATTCATCCCACAGTTGTTTTGTGCCTTCAGTCACTGAAAGGCAACTTCAGAAAACATCTGCTTTGCAACAAATAGCAAGGGCCTACTTTAGATTCTTAGGTTACACACTTTTGAACCCATGAGTATTTCCTTCTTACTTGCATTAATTGTAGTGTAGAAAATAAAATAGTCTTTAAAATGCAGTAAATTCACCACTACTTCCATAGGAACAATACGTGTTCCAAATTAGCGTGCATTGTTCTACGAGGTTGTATAAATCTTTTTATTCAAGAGTATGCTGAGAAGTATCAACGTCACAAAGTAATTTCAGAGAAGATAATGTGATTATCCTACTGCAGCTTCTCGCTTGCTCTTTACTAATTACAGATGGGAATGTGGTATGTCACCATTGTCCACATAAGTTATTTGTGAGAGAGGAAAGAACAAAAATGACAACATATACTACAGTATATTGTTTCAAAAGAAATGCTATTTCAGTATTTATTAAAATAACTGAAGTCAGGAAAACAGAGGAAACATCCTAGATTTTGCTAGTTAGACCGTGATAACAGTGCACTTGCCTGCATTTGTCAACATTGCTCCTTATTCTGTTCTGTGGAAATCACTCCAACATATTTGCCAATACCCTGAAAATAAACAACAAAACCCAGGATGACTTCTTATTTCATTTTATATATTTAAATTAGACCATGAAAAAGGGAAAGTTTGCATGGGGGAATGAATGAAGTCTGCATTTTTGTTTCTTCTGCTGTGAAATTGGAAGCATCCTGATCCATTTTTTTTTTCTTTTTAATGATCGTACTGCCGCAGAGAAAACAAAGTTACTGCAGAACGTGTACTGCAAGTTACGTGGCAATTTGCTCTCCTCATCATGGAGCAGATGTGTAGCGTGTTCAGTGAAGCTAAAACAATTTCCCTAGCTTAGGATCCACCCCACTGTGGCTTTCAGTACACAAAAACACACCACCCCCAGATTAGGACTGCTTCATCATTCTTGTTAAAAAAATTTGTCTAAAAGCATCAGTATAAGCTCTGGAACATTGCTGGTGATTACTGCTATTTGGAAAAAACAAGGGAAACTGCACTTCCATTTCTTCCAACTCTGAGTAAAAAGAGCAGTTTCACATGCGTGGCTACTAACGTCATGAAATGCATATAAAAAGAAACTTGAACGACTGGTATTTTTGTTCTTATTAAGTGAGATCTGGTTAATATGTAGATTGGTAATGGAAAATAGATTATAAAAATAATACAAGAATCACTCACTTTTACACGTTAGTTAAAAGAGATTGGCTTTCCCCACTTTAAGGCAGTGCACTGCTGACATCTAGTGGTGTTTGACGCAGGCAGCCGAGTGAGCTGAGAGTAGTCCCTTCGATCTTTATTTCTGAATGATTAAATTATTTAAAGGTTGGGACGGGATGGCAATTTTATAAAAAATTATTCATTACAGGAGTCCCTTCCCTAAGAACAAGTAATCATTTCTTAAACAGATTCATTATTTAATAAATCATTTTCTTAATAATTAAGTCATGGTCTCTCATTCATCTGCATGAAGTTTGACAGTCAGTACTTCAAAATCTGAGCTGCTCTCATCAGAGATGTAGACCCCACAGCATGTTTTGATTTGCAGACCAGGTGACTATGATTGCTGAAACCAGGTTTCAGACACTAGGATTATTGCAAATTCAGACATGACGTTCTGCAAATATTCTGCAGTTTCTACTCCTTACTGGCTGTTTAGTAAATACTCCGTATTCTAGGATATTTACAGAAAAATATGGCAACTCAGTGAAGACATATTAACAATTCAAACAAGAAGTCACTGTCTTTGCTAGCAGCATTCAGTGACCACTGTGTGTAACAAACCAAATGACAATTTATTTATATTTGATTTATAGCCATCTTCTTATGTCACTTACATGCACAACAGTAGGAATGTTTGTTAAGAAACCAAACAAATAAGAAGCAGAATAAAATAACTTTAACCAGGATTCTCTCTTTACCTACCACAAGGTTTCTCACCTACCATAAACACAGAATGATTCATTCCTAGAGCCCGTTTTCTTCACAGCATCAAATTTAGCAAAGATCAGTGTAGTCCTAGCTTAAGAAGTCTTTCATTAGGCAGACTTACATTGAGAATAAATATAATATTAAAATATCACATGGTACTAGGGCTTTTATAATGATTGCAGGGAGGTACAAATCAAGTGTGAATCAAAAAACACACTGACCCAACAAACCCAGATGTATTCATCCAAATTTGTTTTCCTAAATGGCTTGGGAAGTATTTGAGAAGCCTATTCTGAAGAATAATGTTATGGTTAAGTATATGTGACAAAGTCCATGCTACCAATGCCATAGCATCTGCTAGTCTTAGAAGACTTAAAACAAGCCTGGTGTTTATTCCAACCTTTCCCCAGAGCTTGAGTAAAAGCTGCTCTTAGATATGAAAAATCTGTTCAATGATGTTTCCTTTTATGCCTCTCCACTTTCTTACTGGATCAGAAACAAAAAGTTCATAAAGTGTTTTTTAATGAGTGGAATTCAGATGTACCAATTTCAAGAGACACTTGTTCCCTCTAGCAACTTACAGCTCAGTTCACATGGAAACCAGGCACCCTCTAGAAATGCACACAAACTTTAGCTGCTTATGTGATCCTGGCCTTTTGATATCTGCCTTTCCTCTCATGGATATGCCAGAACATTAAAAAACCAGAACAATTATTGTGCCATAAATCTAAAATATCTGTATGGCCAGTGGTTTTTACTGTGTGAAACTGCCCTGGGGAATAATAAAGCAAGCTTGCTGTAGGGGCACTATCCTCATTTCCGCAACATCTAGGGTTGAATTAGGTGCCCTTTCCTATGAAAGAATTGTTCTATCAATTGGATTAGAATCTGCTTTCATTAACACCTGTGTCCATCACCGTCAGTTATACAACATAACAAGAATTACTTGACATACAGCAGAATCTCCCCGGGTCAATTCTGATGGCAGGATGTTATCAGGACGTTAGTCATCAGTATCATTATGTGGTCAATAGCAGTTTGAAAAGTCCACTTAAGATGGTTTTAAAAAGCACATGCAAGAACATGGGAGCAGATGCGGTTACCTGTGGGGTTGTGCCATAAGCTATTGTGCTCCGTGGAGAATGCTCTGGCTTGTTTGATAGCATCCTGCAGATATTCTATTTTGCAGTCACTGAACTCCAGCTCTGACCACCTAAGATTATGGCATTTGTGTTGGTCCATAAATCAGGTTTTGTTTCCACATAAAATAAGGCTTACATACTGCCTCAGATTTTCAAATAAGATCATTCTGAAACAGAAACATCACTAGCTACCAAAGAGTTCACAATCATTACAAAACCTGCAGCTCATCCCCTGGTTTCCCCTACACAGATCAGAGCCTTTCAGTTTGTACCTGGGCTTGCAACTCTGACTCCTATGACACTAAAGAGACAGGTCACAGCTGAACTCACTGCTTCTGGATTGTTGAGACGTTCTTCCTCTGTTACAAAGAGGGTGGTTTGCACCTAGTTTCTATTTCTGAATGTACTCCCAAAGTATCTATCAATTTGAGCTTCACATTTTACTGGGAAAAAAATGCAAATGTTACTGACTTATTTGCTTTGATCTATGCTCTGTGAAAGACAGTCAACTTCGGCAGAAGAGATATTGGTGCAAGCACCACATCCTTCTGTTCACACAAGCCTACAGTCTTTATAGACTCAAAAGCCCTCATTAATTCATGAAGACAATGAAATTCTCTGATCCTGACATCATGTCACTTGGCCTCCCTTCTCTATAATACTGTTACGTGATGTTTTACAGGAAGCACCGCGGCAGATGCTGAAGAAAAGCTAATGAACCACCTACTGAGTCCTGACAGGTACAATAAGTTAATTCGACCAGCTGTCAACTCATCCCAATTGGTATCTATAGAACTGCAGGTTTCCCTGGCACAGCTCATCAGCGTGGTAAGTTTAAATTAGGCTATGCCTTTTAATTCATTACTACCTGCACAGTGCTCTAACTAAAAGTCATATTGGTATTACTATGTCCCTGTTATGTTCTAAATCACATAATGATACTTTGTAGGCAGAGCCCATACATACGACTTACTGGGTTTATAATTCAGAATGCAGCTATAACAGGGAGCTCAATATATGCCTAAGCAATAAAGTACAGCAGCCAGATCTGCATCCAATAAAATTCCATTGACCAAAAAATCAAAATCATTCCACTGATTTCAGTACCGCTACAGTAATTTACACCAGGTCAGGATTTACCCTGGACCGTGTACACAATGCCAAACCATCTTCTGCTGGTTGAATCAAAGAAATGTAGTTGAATGTCCTGGAAACAAGCTATGAAGCCAGCTCAAAACCTCATGGCATATCAGCAAAGAGCAGTGAAATGTTGTAAAGAAAAAGACACGTCAGTTCCAGCTCAAATATCTTACACAGTTAAAACGATCCTCATGTAAGCAATTCCTCATATTCAATAAGAATTACTTCAGTAGGTCCCAAAGACATTTTCACTCACAAGGTTAACATTAACAGTTCTTCCAAGGTACAAATACCTCAGTGCCTAGACAGGTTTAGCATTAACTGCAGTGGAACAAGATCCAGCACATAAGTGGGAATAATTTCCTGAATCAGGGCTTTGAACTCTGCTTCTCTCTCCTTGGATAAAAAGGAGGATATAGATGACTGCCTCCTGCCAGAATTTGTGTATGGGCCAGTGACTGGACTGCTTCAAAGTTTAAGAAACCTATATAATTTATATTCTGAAATTCAAAAGGAAAAGAGACACTGATGGAACATAAGGGATGTTACAAACATGTTACAAAGGGATCTACAAACAGATGAGCTTTCATACAAGCTGATTTATACAGGATATACAGCCATCTATACCAGATGATTCTGGGACAAGTGCTCCCTCTCTCCTGGAGAATTCCACCTGGACACAGACATACGTCCCCACACAGTGCACTGCCACCACCAGCACAGTATCCTCTCAGATTGCAGATTCTGGGCATGAAAAGCAAGGTGTCCTGCCCCCACAGGCCCCAGCAATCAACAATTTAAATGGAATAGATGAATAAGCAATGGTCAAGAATGGTACAGCTCAGTCCCTACCCCTCACTCTTCAAGCAGAAAGTAGAATGTGGCATTTTATAGGCTCTAACAATCTCAAGCATTTTCAGGATTGGAGAATTAACTTGTTTTCCTGCAGAAATCCTCTTGGCTCTTTGACCCCCTACCTTGTCCCTTCAGTAGAGGCCCAGCAACACAGATCGGCTGCACAGACTTCTCTTCTGGACTGCTGTTGCATGACGCAGAGCTTGACAGTTGAGAGCTTACATAGCAAACCTTACATAAACCTCACACAAGTTAGTACAGGCCTTCCTGGTGGTCAAATGTGCCTTCAGTTTCAAATCCAATCCCCAGGGAAGGGGGGAGTGGTAGGAAATCAGCTCAGCAGGGTGGTGGTAATTGTTCCCAAATAGCCACACTCACTCCAGTCACAACTGTCCTTGTTAAAAACCACTTGGAGTATTACGCTTGTGGGGTTACTATTTATCGTCAGGATGTGGACAAGACTGGCCATCTTACCAGCAGAGAAATGCCTGTGTTGAAATACACTAGACAAAATCATGCTGTGCAGTTGGAAATATCCTGAAAAGCCCACTGAATAAATTGTATTACTGCAATAAAATGAAACATTTTAGAGGACATCTTTTCTCTGTCTTTTCTCCTGCAGAATGAACGGGAACAGATCATGACCACAAACGTCTGGCTGAACCAGGTAACCAAACCCACAGAGGCATGCTCTTGCAAACCACAAATGCAACTGCGTTCCCTTCATCACAGTGATTGTTTTGTTAGAGCTGGTCTGGATACTCCCATCACTACTGTACAATTCTTCTCTTAGGAGTGGATTGATTATCGTTTGGCTTGGAAGCCCTCTGACTATGAAGGAATAAATAAGCTGAGAATACCTGCAAAACACATCTGGTTGCCAGACATTGTGCTCTACAATAAGTAAGTAAAACCTCTGTAGTTTGTGCAGACAGTGAACAAACCTTTAACCATGTATCAAGAAACAAGCGTCAGAACCTACGGAGTAGGTCTGATAAAATTTTAAAACTGAATTTTGTCACTTTTAGCCAGTATCAAGTGTATCTGACTGGGGTACTGGCCTCAGAACTAATTTTAGTAAAATCAGGGCTCTGGTTAAAGAAATTCCAGCAGACCTGGAGCATGTCTGCAGTGTAAGCTATTACGACACCAGAGGATCCACGACAAGGCTCACAACTGAGACACAGATCTATATCAATCTAGACTATATGGAACACATGAATCGTAAGTACACTGGCCATGTCCACAAGAAAGCAAGACATCTGGAATTCTGTCGGACATCTTAGGTTCTGAGCTACATTTCTGTCTCCTGCTTCTTCTTCACTCCCACCCCCTTCCACGACAGACTCCAGGACATAGAACCGTTACAAAATTCACATGTAGCAGAACTCCATGAGTTAATATTCATTTTAAAAAAAATATATCTGTTATATTTTCATAAAGCATTAAAAAATCAAGAATATATAATAAATCTGTCAACATCTGACTGTTTCTTTACAGTACTGAGAAGTGTAAAAGCTTTAGCTATACCATACTTCAGTTCTTCCAAACAACCAGTTAACTGCCAATTTTGGTTTGGATTTTGCTGTTGTTTTTAAATCCCTAGTAAAGCCTTGAAGTGGATGATATCAAGTCTTTGGGGAAAAAATATCAAAACTTATAATATACTTTCATGATACTTTGAAAACCAATCAATTCATAAACATGTGACAGTTTATGAACATAAACAGATGGGAAACCTAGGAAGTTTATATATAACTGAGTTAAGTCCCTGGAATCCTACTACTGGAAATCAGATTCGAGAAATGCTTAGAACTATTGTATTAGACACAAAATAATTCAGCCAGTGGATTAGGATGTACTCTGCCTGGTCAAATCTTGTTCTGGTAAATTGTGCCCCCGCCCTCTGCTTCTTTCTTCCTTACTCCCCAAATGATACCATTTAATGGATTGTAAGAATGGAAAGAAACAGTTTTAAAAGTCATCTTAAATCTATGGGAACAGCTTTTAGTCTAATATACTGGATTCTGACATTAGTACAAAGCTTCAAATTAAAATTTTAGGTAAAGCACAACCCCCTGTAACGCTCTGCTGCTGAAGCAGTGTTTCATAGGCATCAGTCAGTTCAAGAGGTGCTAAGGAAAACACAAAGAGCGTCCCCATGCCCCACAGCTCTGCCCATCTGTAGACTGTGCACAGGACTGCAGAGGGCAGCCCAGCTTCTGTCCCACAGCTCAGCCAGGGGCAGCCAGCAGAACCACCTACATATTCTCAGCCCAGGAGTCTACCCAGTACATCGTATGGCCCAATGGTAAATCCAGCTCAAGGAGACACAGAAATGGGATTTCTTTACTGAAGAATAGCAATTATATTGGCAATGAACTAATGACCCTTATATGCTGGTGCTTCCCACTTGTGCATCTGGTTGTTTCACTGCCTACAAGATGTAGCTATGTCTCACTGCCAGGCACGAGGGTTTGTGCCAAGCATTCGATCCTTGTAACGTTCCCTTGCTTAAATAAAAAATAAACCTTAGCTCAGAAATACTTCTATTTTCCATGATGTCTTCTCTAAAAACAAGCAATTCATTTGACTTTTTATTAACTCTTAAGGAGCATATTTCCACTGAAACAGATGGATGCAACTTAACTGTAATCGGTTGAACTTCATCCATTTACACTTGCCGTGGGTTTGGTCTTATATTTTTGCTGATAACATACTGTCTTTTGGTTATATGAATTTCTTTACATAGACATTTGTTTATTAAAAGGAAGGTACGTGGGATGTATCTAGTCCAGACTCTTCTTTGCAGTCTATCAAAAAGGCTAACCCAGTTTATAATAAAAGTGGTTGATTGAGAGAGGAACAAACCTTTGAGTTCCCTCATCTGTCTCAAAGACAGTCATTAATAGTTGTTCCTTCCTACTGTTACACTTTTCTGTGGTAACACAATTAGCTGAGTTTGACAGGTGTTGCATAGCACACCTGAGAAGGCCTGAGAAGGTGCAGTGAATACACTAAGAAACACCAAATTTCATTAATATTTATCAGCAATTGACCACTTAATATTTCTACCTCAGGATACTTCATAGGTTAACAGCCCCAAGTTCTTGATCCAGATACATTGGACAGCAGTAGGTATTGATTACTGACTGATAATGAGCTCTTCCCTGAAGTAAAGGGCCCATCATAATATAGAAGCCTCTCCTGGTTGAAGTTCAGCAGACAGAGGAGACACAAAGCCAAGATTATTTGTGGGCACTAAGAATGCTGTGGCTTGTCTGTTCTGTTTTTGTAATAATAAAACATTAACTGGAGTGACGCAATAAATTATAAACCATATAACTACATTTCCTCTGCCTACACTCTCCCTGCATTTCCAACTAACACTGCTGATCCTTATTGCCTCATCCAAGTCATTTGGGAGTGTTACTGTGTGCTCCTAGCAGCGGCTGTGTTCAGATCAAAGGTACCTCCATCTTCATGTTGGATGATCTCATTTTTACACAGCTTCCAGGGATGCAGTAAGCCTTAATTACTTTAACAAACACTTATAAAATACTTTGAGTTCTTTGGATGAAACACATATTTATTATTTAATAATAATTTTGTAAAATAATTCTTGTAAGTATTTGGCCAAATATCTGTTCTTTGATTGGGAGAAATGCATACATCAATCACCCTATCAAGTTACACCTCCCTACAACACAGATTTCAAAATCGAAATATTACTAAACTTTGATCCTAGAAACAAGTGAACCAGATAAGACCAAGAATTTCAGAGCTCTTCTGTTTTGAACTATGCTTTTCCTCTTAATGTTTTATTATCTTCTCTCCTTTTTCTTTCCTCTTGTTTTATTAGTGCGGATGGCACATACGAAGTTTCGCTATACACAAATGCAATTGTAAAGAACAATGGAAGCATTCGCTGGTTGCCACCAGCCATTTACAAGAGTGCCTGCAAGATTGAAGTTAAGCATTTCCCGTTTGATCAACAAAACTGCACATTAAAGTTCCGGTCCTGGACATATGACCATACAGAAATTGATATGGTGCTTAAAACTTCCATGGCAAGCATGGACGACTTTACACCAAGTGGAGAGTGGGATATTGTAGCACTCCCAGGAAGAAGGACTGTAAATCCTTTGGACCCCAATTATGTCGATGTGACATATGACTTCATTATTAAAAGGAAACCTCTTTTTTATACCATCAATCTTATCATTCCCTGTGTGTTAATTACATCCTTAGCTATCCTGGTGTTCTACTTGCCTTCAGACTGTGGTGAAAAAATGACCTTATGCATATCTGTGTTGCTTGCCTTGACTGTTTTCCTGCTGCTGATCTCCAAAATTGTCCCTCCAACATCTCTAGATGTTCCACTGATTGGGAAGTATCTCATGTTTACAATGGTACTAGTGACCTTCTCAATAGTTACCAGTGTCTGTGTACTCAACGTCCACCATAGATCTCCAAGTACTCACACTATGCCCCCTTGGGTAAAGCTGGTTTTCCTTGAAAGACTCCCAGCCTATCTCTTCATGAAGCGTCCAGAAAATAATTCTCCACAGCAAAAGCTGCGCAACTGCAAAAAGACAAAAGCAGAAAATCCTTGTATGGACCCAGCTGACTTCTACAAGAACTCTACCTATTTTTTGAATACAGCCTCTGCTAAAAAATATGATATGAAAATCACCGAGACTCTTGACAATGTCAGCAGTCACCGAGATTTTAGGTTAAGAACAGGCACAAAATTTTCTCATGAAGTCCAAGAAGCAATTGATGGAGTCAGTTTTATAGCAGAACACATGAAAAGCGATGACAACGACCAGAGTGTAAGTAAAACTGAGAAATCAGTCTTTCTAAACTTCATTTCCCATCTTCCTCTGTAACACACTGACTGCTCTCCAGAAAGCATATTTGAACTCCCTAGCTATTCTCAAGATTTTAGAGAGAATCTAACTATAGCTTATAAGAGGAAACAATTTTTGTCATTAAAAACCCTTAATGAATAGCAATTTGGTAAGCAATGATACTCTCCTGGAAAGCAACATGCTGTTTCTACAAAGGAGTGTTGATTGCCCAGTAAGTCATGAAACATCCTTGAAAAAGCTGTGTGGTCACATTCAAGTAGTGATTGGCAGGGGAAAAAAAAAATAATATTCAGTTCCAGGTCAGAAAAAGAATATTTTCCCCACTGTATTCCGTAAGATTGTGACTCAGCCCATGGCCAGGCCATGGTAACCAGAAACAATCTACCTGCAGCTCAAGCATTCATTTACCTAACTGGGCAAAAAGGAGGATTTAGTAAAATTGGTAAAATTCCTTTGCAAGCACACTCTCCAGGCCAAGAGATCTGTTCATGTATGGCAAACACAACGGGTAGGTTTGAAATCCTAACGCCAGCAGAGCTGACACTTCTTTTATTTGAATTAAATCAGACTTGTTATTGGCTACGAGAGGTACTTTATCCATGATGCATTTAAGCAGTGCTGCTGCCCTGTTCACTTGCCCTACACATGTGCTACTAGCTAGCACACTAAAGCTGATATAAATACTCTACGAATAATGCTTGGAAAAAACTCAGATGGTTCAGTGTTCTGTTTAGACAAGCACCCATGGTTAGGACAAATCATGCTCATACCTACCAGTGTTCTCTCTCTGACCCAGATCCCAGTCAGACTGTAGGTTCTCTAGTCCTGTTGTGCTCTCCCTCCCTCAGCCAAGTAGATTAAAAAAAGCCTGGCTTCTGATCTTGCAGAAGTCCCTTGAGGAGCATGCCACTGAGTAGTTCATGTTTTCTATTAGCTAAAATTACTGTCAAATAAATAAAAAAGATCAGCTATTAACATTAGACATGAGCTTGTAAACATTGAAACTGAACAGGAGCAAACTTCACAGAGTAGAAAAACATTTTCTAATAGCTCAGAAATTATTGCAAGAATATGTTGCATACTAAGGGATCTACAAAGCCTCCAACTGATATCAAGAACAATTTTCAAGGGTATTTTATACAATAAAAATTAATTGAATGCTTTTCCCACAGGGCCCTCTGATATTACATATCACTCTTCTAGATTCATAATTTTAATCTCTGCTTCCTTCCTTCATTATTATGGTCTGATAACAACTGTTTATGTACATCTACTATAGTCTGGTTTCAGAAGTGCAAAATTCCCATTAGCAGCAATGGAAATTAAACGTGTTCACTGAAGGAAAAATATGTAATGCTCCAATGTAAGACATGAGATATCTGACAAGCACAGTAAAGTCACTGAGGTGAGGATGCCCCAAGTGGAACTAGAATCAATGAGAGAAGGAGGGAAAAACATAATTCCTGAGATGCAAATGAAGATTTATATATTCTCCCTTTACAATAATAGCCTGACAATCACTTTGGTTTGAAGAGAATCTAAGACCTTGACTTTCACAGACAACATATGCAAGGCAAAAAGAGATTTTAATAAAAGCAGCAGTATTAATATTTATTAAAACCCTTGATTAATATGACTGCTGATAAGAAAAGAACTCTGAAGCTAACCTTGTTTAACAGTGGTAAACACCATCTATTTTTGTCCACTGAGATTCATAGCATCTGCAAACTAAAATTAAAGAAAAAAAATCCTTAATTGGATTATACTGTGGGTCCTTCTGGGCTGGCTTCCACCAGGAAGCCACACTCAGTACTTGATGCATCCAAGACAGCTAAGAAATTAATACACTATTTTTCTCCACTGCCCATAACAGTTGTAGGAGAAAAATCCATTCCCAAGCCTAAAGTCAGTTTATTTCCTGAACCTTGAGATTTGTTTCCTTTTATTGTCATAAACAAAAACTCAGCATTAGCAAGATGAAGAGCAAAAGAATATGACAAATTGCTAATATCTTTAATTGGCTTTTTCTTCCAGGTCATTGAAGATTGGAAGTATGTTGCCATGGTAGTTGACAGGCTGTTTCTCTGGATATTCGTCCTTGTTTGTGTCCTGGGGACTGTTGGATTGTTTCTGCAGCCACTTTTTCAAAACCACACTGCTGCCATGAACCCTTAGTTGTCATTTAAAATTGTGAATATTTACATAGGTGTTGGGTCTTACTCTGCTCTCAGCTCCCCTCTGTTAAATCTACAGAGATGACAAGTGAGTTGCTCCTAGAGTAGGGAAGTGGAAAGTAGAACCTGACTTATTGTGATAGGGGAAAAAAAACTCGCAAAACAAACAGAAACCTTTTTTTTTTTTTCAATGAGTTCAATACTTCTGGTGATACTTTGGCAATTTTTTCCTATTATTTTAAGTCTGAACATTATAGAGAAATGCGTTTACTGTATGAAATGCCATCCTAGCTCATAAGGATTATTATTTTTAAAAAGTATTATTATTAAAAATCATTTTACATATATTGCCTCAGGAAGGACATTTTCTTTCCTTAGAATACTGCAATTTCCCTATTACAAAAAAGGTATGGCTATGGCATTTACTTCCTTCAAATGCATCAAAACTATTTTTGTCTGATTTATAAAGAGCTTTACAGGTAGAATCACTGTTCAGCTCTTTGAGTATGATATTTAAAACCGAACTGAGAAACAGAGACATAATTCTGAGGTAACAAATAATAGGTTTCTTACTTTGCTATCTCTGATCAACAGCGGCCAAATTACTATAAGATAAACATTTATATACTCTGTTAATGATGAAATATAAATAAAAAGTAGAACTTTCCTTTATATGGAACTAGTCCTGGAATGTTCCTGCAACTTTAACAGACCATGTAACTGGGGTTCATACACACTTTCACGAATCTAAGGCTAAGAGCACAGGAGAAGAGCATTTGGAGAAGGCGACTATGAAAAGCAGCTAGAATGAGAAGACAACAACTGTGAAAGGCAACTGGAACAAGGAGAGAAGACACCAGAGAGCAAACCCACCTGCAGGGTTTGCTGGGGAGATTTTAATGTGGATTTAAGTATAATCCTCAACAAATTAGCTAAGAAAGCACATAATGCATGTACTGTCTTAACGTCTTTGGCAAAGGACAAATCAAGGCCCTAGACACCCATCACAGCACAATCCCACCACACTTTGTTCCAGGTAGTTTGGACCTGCAAAAAGAGAAGTGAGCTCCTGGCATTTTTCAAGCTAAACCAATCTCAGCTTTACCTTGAGCTGTTGCCAGAAGACATAATAATTTTAGCACCATTGATAGGTACAACTAATGACTGGTGAACAAACTGTTAAAATTCACTACTACTTGTGAAGAGGATTTGAGGCTCACCTGTCCCAGGGGAGGATTAGCTGACACCTAAACTTGTGTTCTTCAACAAGCCACAGTTGAAGACAGCTCTGGCTCTATTTGACCTCATCAAAACTGAGCTACATCTCCACCTAGATCGCCATTCCCAGACAGCTATAGATAACTACATAGATTTAGACGTGCCACAACAGCTACACCAACACCTTTCCAGAGCAACTCCAGGACCTTTGCTGATTCCTGTGTTCACTCTCTCCCTGCCCATGCGCTGAAAACTCCCCAACACCGCTGCCATGCTCCACCCCCTCCCCATACCCCCACTCCTACCCCTGAGCACTGGCAGGGCTTTCCCAAGTGCCTGAGCACTGTAGCATGGCCTGCTGCATGGCAGCCTAGGAAAGATGCAATGAAAAAGTATCAGAAGTGTGGTGGGTGAGGCTATGTGAGCAGCAGCAGCATCTCCCATAGCTCTGGGCTAGAAGAAGGAATGGTTGTAATAAGGTCAGCTCCCCTCCCATTCCTTTTCCTCTGTGCACTGCAATGATGTCCGTTGCTGAAGACAGGGCAGGAAGGTGAAGGATGACAGCAGGACAGCCCTGTTAATACAGGTATGCCCTGTGACCATAGAAGCTGCCACATGCTCCTCGCTCAGAGGAGGTGATGTTTTGGTCATGTCCCCAAACACTTTCAGTGGTGACTGGGGGGCCGTGTAGAGCTTAAATGGGTCAAATCTGCTTTTCCTGCCTCAAATGTCTTATCCTGCTCAAACCTAGAGATCAGAGCTGTTTCTCTACAGGCAACTGAAACAACAGCTGTGAGATGAGATGGGGCACAGGCAGGCCCCCGGGAGCAGAGGGGTGCCTTCACCCAGGCGGGGAGATGCTCCTCTATTTTAGGTTATATGCTGGGAGCTGACATGGCACAGAACCTCACAAACACACATGCACATGCTGCCCCAGCTGCTAAGCAGCTTTTTCTGCTTACAGAGAAGCTAGACTGAAGCCAGAGCAGCTGCCAGCAATGCACCAACAGTGTAAAGGTGAAGGCCCTTTAAATCCCACAATAACCCTGAACAGTGAATCTGAAAGAGGCAGTACAGAGTTAAATGCTCTTGTGAGCTACTACACATGCCTGCAGGGCAGAAGAGAGAGGGACTCACCCAGCCAAGCAACCAAGGATGCAGCAAGTCAGCTGTGAGCCCTGCAGTCCTGCCGACTGACACTGGACCCGTGCAGAGACCCCTCTCCCTGCTCTTTTCACCCAGCACCCACAGCACTTTTGGCTCTGTCCCGCGCTCATCCTCCTTCCAATCATTACTCCTCTCCCCCATCTTTCTTCTTCTTAACCTCCCCCTCACTGCCTGAATGCAACTGAAATTAGGCTTCCAGTACTCCTATCTCATAGTTGGCCTTATCTTTATGAGCAGTAATGACTGATAACGCTTGGCTCCATAACTGCAGCCTTCGGCTGAATTATACCCAGCGTAGACAAAAGTTTTAGAAAGGATTTGGCAGCTCAGCTAGCAGTGAACACAGCGCACAGACAGATGGAGGCCTCAGACTTGACAAACCCAGAAAAAGCTTTCAAAAGGCACATCCTTGGCCCCAGGGAAATGCCTGCAGAAACAGAGCTCCTCATCCAGAAAATGGTGGGCTCTGGTGCTTTCCATGCACTGTGGCCATCTTATTTCTTTTTTAATCACCAGTGAATCAATATACCCTTCCCCAATTACATTCTTGGAAACTACCACTGTATTTTTTTTTTAAGTTTCCAGAAATAATCCATAGCAAACTTCAGAAGGCAAAATTTCACCCAAAGTCCTAAAATTCTGAAAAATCTGACCGCCTAAAACTGTGGTTTCAAAGTGGGAAATGCTATTTTTGCCTAACCCTCAGCAGCTCCACCTACAAAACATGTAGAAATGTTCCCAGTTTAGCTTGTCAAAGAATTATAGGGTTTTCTGCTCTGATTTTTTTGCAAATTAAAAAAAAAAAAAATCTGGAGAAAAAGAAACATTAAAAATGTCACATTGCAGTCTAATAAGAACATGACAATGTCCCAGTTCATCAACCAAAATAAACTTCAATGTTTCTACTTTTCAGGTTTTTTTACATCAGTGCTTTACATTTTAAAAAAAAAAAAAAAAAGGAGAAGAAAAGTGGTCATTCAAAATGTATTTTTCACTAAAAATCTTTTCGGTGGCAACATGCAACCAGCCTTTGCTTCCCTGCGAGTGAGGATAAGTCCCTGTTGGCTCCGTCCCCATTCCCTACCATTACAACACTCTTTAACCCTGACAAAGCCTGGCTTCCGTCAGAACACGTAGAAGTGTAATCACCACCACACACATGTACCATCTGCCTCCGGGTGAGTTTATTTGGGACTGTTTCTGCACCTCTGCTGTCACAGCAAACTAGAAAGACTAGCAGTGTAGGCTTTTTATAGAGGGAGCATCAATACCCCGGACAAAGGTGGGAAAGACTTCTCTTCATCACCTGAGTTGACTAAGATTTGATCTTAACACATCTTAACAAAGCAAAATGCTGCTAAAAGGGGCACATATATTAAAAAGCAAAGGCTACGTTGTTTGCTACTGCAGATCCTCTTAGGTAGACCAGCTTCCCCTTACCCATACAGATTCTTCTACGTAGTTCTGCAATGCAGTCACAGTGACATGTTCGTATCACATCACTCTCCCTGCCATAAAAATAATCCAACCACAAGCCTGAGTTGATTTCACCAGGAGCTCCAGCATGTGATGTTAGAAACAAAATATCTGTGCATACAAAACTACTGAAAATGTCACTAAGTAAGCAAATTAAGCTAAAATACCTCTATCTCTTCATGCAATGGCTCTTTGCTGCCTCTGCAGATCAGATGTTTCCAACTTACTCAGGCTTAAGCACTGACTTTGAGGGAACACAGGTTATGATCTGATCTTTGAAGTTTTAGCTCATTTCTAGTTGGGACTAAAAAGAAACAAAAAAATCTGTCACAGTGCTGCTTATACATGGAAATCAAGAAGGCAGATAGGGAAAATATCTAGTCTCAATGCCCCAGAAAGGCAAAAAAATGTACCCACAAAGGGTTAAGCTAAAAGACCAAGCAGCCAAGTTGCCTGGAAAAAGAAATAAAAGCAAATGGACAGTGAAGCCTATTTCCTCCAAGCTAATAGAATTACAGAAATTATCATAAGAGCATGTGTCTGGGGGGGAGTGAATGATGTTCTGAGAGATGGGGCAAACAGGATAAACAAGCTCTGTGCCAAGAGCAGCTGAGCTGAACAGAATCTGGTACTCTTTCTCCCAGTGCTACCTCTTAACACAGTGCCTAATAGGGTCATCGTTTATCCTTCCCTAATGGCAGTGAGTGAAGCACCTATTGGGTGCAGCCACCTGTCCCACAGGGCTTCCCTCTCCAAAAACAAGGGTGGAATCCCACATTTTTCTCTCTCCCCCTCCTCTCCCCGAACAGACTGCCCAGATGGGTGCAACAACCACTGCATGCATGAGCCTTGCATCACTTGGTTGTTCAAGGGCAGGAGTAAGGAGTGACATACAAGTTAACAAGTAAGCTGATGGGCACCTGGGAAATAAGCCACTGTGCAAATCATGACGTTATGATTGAACTTTAAACACAACTCCCCATTCTCCCTCATCTCCTTTCCCCGAGCAAAAGGTTCTATGGGATCAAGCTGGGATCTTATGCTCTTATTCCCCTTCCCAAATTTCACCTTTCTAATCCATGAAAGCAGGACCAGTCCATAGACAGTTATTCTCAAGAGCTTGGGTCAAGTTTGGGCTCC